ATAAACACGTGTATAGCTTGTGTCAGGAATGGCCGTCAGTACTAGGGCCTCTGACTTATATGAGAATCAAACATCCCCCCCCCCTGTAAGAATGAGCCAATGGATACATCTCCCGCTCGCGGGCAAAGCAAAAAAAAGCCGTTACCTTTCCCAGCTGAGAACCCCCTCCACACTCCATAGTTATGACAGGGTTACCTGATAAAGTCCATCTCTCCTATTTATTGGAAAGGGGGGTGATTTTAGATGCCAAATGAGCGGAGTTGGGGCTCTTCAGAGGAGGTTGTCTGTCGCTTCCCTGCACAAAGCAGGTTGCTGGCTGAGATCAGCTACCCCCATTAACACTCTTAAGCCAGGGGTGGCCAAACTTGCTCAAGGTGAGAGCCACATAGAATAAACACCAGATGTTTGAGAGCAGCAAGACAAATATCACACGCGCATTTTTATTTAAAAATACGTAAATTTGCTTTTTATTCACATGAAATGAGACCTGCTAAAAATAAAAAATAAGGGTTAGAAACTGATATTGATAATGATATTTACTTGTCTAATGATATTTGATATTTGGATCAAAAACTGGCTAATTAATAGAAAACAGAGAGTGAGTATAAATGGGCAGTTCTCTCAGTGGAGGGGGGTAAGCAGTGGGGTACCGCAGGGATCAGTACTTGGTCCACTGCTTTTTAACTTGTTCATTAATGATTTGGAGTTGAGAGTAAGCAGTGAAGTGGCTAAATTTGCAGACAACACGAGGTTGTTCAGGGTGGTGAAAACCAGTGAGGATTATGAGGCACTCCAAAGGGATCTGTCGAGGATGGGTGAGTGGGCATCAGCGTGGCAAATGGGGTTCAGTGTGGCCAAGTGCAAGGTGATGCACATTGGAGCCAAAAATCCTAACTATAAATACACATTGATGGGGTCTGAACTGGCAGAGACTGATCAAGAGAGAGATCTTGGTGGCACTCCAAAGGGATCTGTCGAGGATGGGTGAGTGGGCATCAGCGTGGCAAATGGGGTTCAGTGTGGCCAAGTGCAAGGTGATGCACATTGGAGCCAAAAATCCTAACTATAAATACACATTGATGGGGTCTGAACTGGAAGAGACTGATCAAGAGAGAGATCTTGGAGTTGTAGTAGATAACTCACTGAAAATG